CTGGGGAGCAGCAGGTTAAGGGGAACCCACCGGGGGTTGGAGGAGGAAGAGGAAGAGGAGGAGGAGGAGGAGGAAGAGGAGGTGGGGAGGAAGACCCACCCACACACACACACACATGGATGGAGGAAACCATCGAGGTCAAAGAGAGTCAACCCCGCTTTGCACAACCCTTTCCTAGAAGCTCCAACGCCTTCCAGGAACAGAGGAACAGGGCTCTTGGGGTGGTGGGATGGACCACGAGGGTTGTGACCATCACACTGACCATCCAGCCCCACCAGGAACCGTGGGGGAACACGAGGAGGTTCCAGCCCCACCAAGAACCTGGGGGAACACGAGCTTCCAGCCCCACCAGGAACCAACCGTGGGGGAAGACGAGGAGGTTCCAGCCCCACCAGGAACCAACCGTGGGGGAAGACGAGGAGGTTCCAGCCCCACCAGGAACCATGAGGGAACACGAGGAGGTTTCCAGCCCCACCAAGAACCTTGGGAGAACACAAGGAGGTTCCAGCCCCACCAGGAACCAACCGTGGGGGAAGATGAGGAGGTTCCAGCCCCACCAGGAACCAACCGTGGGGGAAGACGAGGAGGTTCCAGCCCCACCAGGAACCAACCGTGGGGGAAGACGAGGAGGTTCCAGCCCCACCAGGAACCAACCGTGGGGGAAGACGAGGAGGTCCCAGCCCCACCAGGAACTTTGGGGGAACACAAGAAGGTTCCAGCCCCACCAGGAACCGTGGGGGAACACGAGGAGGTTCCAGCCCCACCAGGAACCGACCGTGGGGGAAGACGAGGAGGTTCCAGCCCCACCAGGAACCAACCGTGGGGGAAGACGAGGAGGTCCCAGCCCCACCAGGAACTGTGGGGGAACACAAGAAGGTTCCAGCCCCACCAGGAACCGTGGGGGAACACGAGGAGGTTCCAGCCCCACCAGGAACCATGAGGGAACACGAGGAGGTTTCCAGCCCCACCAAGAACCTTGGGAGAACACAAGGAGGTTCCAGCCCCACCAGGAACCATGGGGGAAGACGAGGTGGTTCCAGCCCCACCAAGAACCTTGAGGGAACACGAGGAGCTTCCAGCCCCACCAAGAACCTTGAGGGAACACGAGGAGCTTCCAGCCCCACCAGGAACCTTGGGGGAAGACGAGGAGGGGAACACGAGGAGGTTTCCAGCCCCACCAGGAAACTTCCCATTCCAAGCACCAAGTTCTGCCCAGCCTGCCCTTCGCTGGGAGGCCCCAGTGTGGAAACCACCTCCAACTGGTGCCACCGAGGAGGGAGGGGGGACAAGGGGACACACACACACCCCAACCCCGGAGCTGAGTCACGACTGAGAAAATCCCCCGCCTCGAGCCACGGGACTTCCAGTTTCGGAGGTGACTGGGCATCCATCAGCTGATGGGGAGGGATGAGCAATCCCCAGGGTATCGAAACCACCACCAGCAGCACCAGCAGCACCAGCACCACCACCACCATCACCATCATCATCACGACCACCAGCACCAGCACCATCACCACCAGGACCAGGACCACCAGCATCACCAGCATCACCAGCACCATCATCACCAGCACCAGCACCATCATCACCAGCACCATCACTACCACCATCACCAGCACCAGCACCACCAGCACCATCACCAGGACCACCAGCACCACCACCAGCATCACCACCATCACCACCAGCACAAGCACCACTGGCACCACCAGCACCACCACCACCATCATCACCGGCACCACCACCACCATCATCACCACCACCACGGACCAGCACCAGGACCAGCACCATCACCATCAGCACCATCACCAGCACCACCATCACCAGCACCACCAGCACCATCATCACCAGCACCAGCACCACCAGCACCAGCACCACCAGCACCAGCACCACCAGCAGGACCACCACCACCATCATGACCAGCACCATCACCAGCACACCAGCAGCACCACCAGCAGCACCACCAGCAGCAGCACCAGGACCAGCACCAGGACCAGGACCAGCAGCAGCACCAGGACCACCACCACCATCACCACCAGAACCAGCACCACCACCACCAGCACCACCATCATCATGACCAGCACCACCAGCACCACCACCATCATCACCAGCACCACCACCAGCACCACCACGCACAACCAGAGGAGTTTTTGGGGGAAGGATGAAGCTGCCACTGGAGCTGGGGGGGAAAAATGTCACCACCACCAGGACCACCAGCACCACCAGGACCATCACCAGCACCATCATCACCACCACCAGGACCATCATCACCACCACCAGGACCACCACCACCACCACCAGGACCACCACCAGGACCAGCACCAGGACCAGCACCATCACCATCAGCACCATCACCAGCACCACCATCACCAGCACCACCAGCACCATCATCACCAGCACCAGCACCACCAGCACCAGCACCACCAGCACCAGCACCACCAGCAGGACCACCACCACCATCATGACCAGCACCATCACCAGCACCACCACCACCACCAGGACCACCACCATCACCACCACCACCACCATCATGACCAGCACCACCAGCAGCACCACCACCATCATGACCAGCACCACCAGCACCAGGACCACCATCATGACCAGCACCACCAGCACCAGGACCACCACCACCATCATGACCAGCACCACCATCATGACCAGCAGCACCACCACCATCATCACCAGCACCATCATCACCAGCACCACCATCATGACCAGCACCACCAGCACCACCAGCACCATCATGACCAGCACCACCAGCACCAGCACCACCATCATGACCAGCACCACCACCACCAGCACCAGCACCACCACCACCATCATCACCACCACCACGCGCAACCAGAAGAGTTTTTGGGGGAAGGACAAAGCTCCTGCTGGAGCTGGGGGGGGAAAAATGTGTTTTTAAGAGATGCTCAGTGTTTTCTCCCCCCAACAAACCCCCTTCAGAAGCTCTCAGCCACGGCGCTGGCTCTCCAAGGAGAGGACAAGGGCGAGTGGCAGCCGGACTGGGGACAATTTGTGTCCCTACCTCACCCTTGGAGCCATCAAACAGGTCCCAGATGGGGCAAAGGTGGTCAGAAAATGAGGTGTAGCCTCATGGAGACCCCACCAGAGCTCCAGGGTGGGGGGAGAAGGAAGAGGAAACGACCCTTTTTATCACACAAGGGGGTGATATCAGAACCACAGATTGACATGGGGTTGGAAGGAACCTCTGGAGATCCCCCAGTCCCACCCCTGCTAAAGGAGGTCCCACCCAGAGCAGGTCCCACAAGAACATGTCCAGGCAGGGTTTGGAATGTCTCCAGAGAAGAAGACTCCACCACCTCTCTGGGCAGCCCCTTCCAGGGCTCTGCCACCCTCACAGGGAAGAAGTTCCTCCTCGTGTTGAGGTGGAACTTCCCATGTTCAAGTCTGTGCCCGTTTCATCTCCTCCCGTGCCGAGTCAGCAATGACACAGGCAACGATCATGCACCAGATCAGCAGCTCCTGGAGGTGGTGGGTGGGTTGGTTGGTTGGTGGGTTGGTGGGATGGCATTTCTGGGGTGGAGGGAAGGTGGAAGAGGAGAAGAAGGAGGAGAAGAAGGAGGAGAAGAAGGAGGAGAAGAAGGAGGAGAAGAAGGAGGAGAAGAAGGAGGAGAAGAAGGAGGAGAAGAAGGAGGAGAAGAAGGAGGAGAAGAAGGAGGAGAAGAAGGAGGAGAAGAAGGAGGAGAAGAAGGAGGAGAAGGATACACGTGGTTGCAGGAGAGGCGGTAGGTGTTCTCGATGATGCCCTCCTCGTTGACGTCCACGAAGATCTGCTGGCCGCAGACGGCGCAGACGCTGTCGGAGAGGTGCTTGGTGGGCATCCCCGAGGCGCTGTAGAACTGGGGGGAGAGAGGTGACATGGAGGGGGACCTTCATGCAGGTCAGAACCCCCAGGAGGTCCCACCTCAGTTTTTGGGGCTGAAAACCCTTGTTGTGGGTCCAGCTGCGGGAAAGAACTGCGAGAAGCCCTCCACACGCCAGGGACCACCCCCCTTCCCTCCCTGATGGGTTGGGGACAAGGAGAGGACAAGCTGGAGGTCACAGGGTTGACCCAAAGGGACAACCCTCCTGCTGTGTCCCAGGGCCAGGCTGGGAGACACAGAATCCAAGAGCATCTCAAGTTGGAAGGGACCCACAAGGACCATCAAGTCCAAGCTCCTCGCAGGGCCACCTAAAACCAAACCATACGACTAAAAGCGTCACCCAGATGGTCCCCAAACTGTGACAGGCTTGGAGTGGTGACCACTGCCCCAGGGAGCCTGGTCCAGGTATGAAGAGACCACCCTCTTGGTGAAGAACCTTCTCCTCAAGTCCAACCTGAACCTCCCCTGATGCAGCTTCATCCCATTTCCTCGTGTCATAGGATGGTCCAGGTTGGAAGGGGACCTTCGAGATCATCGAGTCCAACCATGTGTCCAACTCATCTCACCAGAAAGAGAAGATCAGGACCTCCCCCCTCTGCTGCCCCTCGTGAGGAAGGTGCAGACTGGGATGTCACCCCTCAACCTCCTCTTCTCCAGGCTGAACAAGCCACCTCGGCTGCTCCTCCTACGCCTTGCCCTCAAGACCATCTTGGTCACCCTCTGGACACACCAACAGTTTGATCTCCTTCTCCTGAGGCCTCCAAAACACCACACAGACCTCGAGGTGGGTTGTCAAGTGGGACAATCACCCCCTTGACCACCTCACGATGCTGTGCTTGATGCACCCCAGGACATGGTTGCCCCTCTGGGCTACCAGACCACGCTGTTGGCTCCTATCCAACTTGCCACCAACCCAAACCCCCAGATCTCTTTCCGTGGGGCCGCTCTCCAGCTCCTCCACCCCCAAGGTCTACGTATAACCAGGATTATCCTGTCCCAGGTGGAGAATCTGGGACTTGGGTCTTGTTACATTCCATACGGTTGGCGATTGCCCAGCTCTTGGGTCTATCCAGAGCTCTCCACCCTCAAGGGAGCCCACAGCTCCTCCGAGGAGCTCCAGGAGAGATGGGGAGGGACCCTTGATAAGCCCACAGCTCCTTCAAGGAGCTCCAGGAAAGCTGGGGAGGGACTCTTGATGAGGGAGGGGAGCCCTAGGAGGAGGGGGAAGGGTTTGACCCTGAAAGAGGGGAGATGGAGATGAGATGTGGGGAAGAAATGCTTTGGTGTGAGGGTGGTGAGACTCTGGCCCAGGTTGTGTGGAGAAGCTGTGGCTGCCCCATCCCTGGAGGGGTTCAAGGGCAGGTTGGAGGG